AGAGACAAACATGAACTAATTAATGAAAGTCTCACTAAATAAATGAGAACATACAGCCTTATTATCGATTCCAACTAGTATTCACGCAAACCAATACTCAGTATTGTTGTTAAGTTAGCAGGCTAGCGTTAGCATGTTTGTTGTTGAATTGTTTCACAACTTTGTTCCTCTCAGGATTAGAGACAATCCGATAACACCTTTCAAATAAAGCGACTTTTCAGATGAGTACATTTTCTCACCGGAATTCAACAAAGTGTTAATGTCAAAAATGATCGTGTAGAAGTTTAATCTTGTTTACCTGTTTCACGTTGAAAATACACGTTGGTGAATTAAGCAAAGGAGCTCCCTAAGACCCGGCACCGACAACATTTCAATTGACATGATTGGAGGAGAGCTTTGACGTCGCGGCCGCCCATTGGTTGTCTGAAATGGCAGTCAAGAGCAATGACAGCGACTTAACTTTAGCGCGTCTGTCTTCCGCACGGTGGCGACAGAAACTCTGCTGACAGGTTAGGTGATAAATTAGTTAATGTGTTTTTTGTTAGTATTTTTGTGGCATAAAACAATTTCTAAAAGTTTATATGTTTTATTAGGGTTTTCATGATATCTTTGTCACAATGGCTTCGCTTTGTTGCGCTGACTAGGAACTTCCTGTTTGCCGTAGTCAGTTTACCTTTTAGATTTTATCAGCTAGCATAGCTAACTGTTTAAACAAGTACACAGTAGGGAATGCTTTTTATTGTTTTTTTTTTTCAGGATTGTGTTGTTTGTATTTTGTTTCATTATGACTTTTTTTATATGGAAGAATTATTTATTAAAGGTTGCAATTCTTGTGTTGAAAAATATATAAATTTCCTAATGGAATAGTGTTTAATTGTAAGAAGACATTTTTGTGAAAAAGGGTCCACAGTAGTATCATATTGTCTAGCAAAAGTATTCACATTCTTTTCACTATTTTGTCACATAACAAAAAACAAATTCTGGTGCATAATTTGAAACTTTATGCCATGGAGCAGTAGGATATAGTGCATAACTGTATAGGGAAAAGAAGGTGTAAAGTTATATAAATTGATGCAGGCTCCTCAAGTCAGTCCAATTTGGAACAACCTCTACCTGCAATTATAGCTGCAAGTCTTACAGAGTATATGTACCAGATTTGCACATCTAACATAGAGACTGACATTGTTGTCTTTTCCAAAAATAGCTAAACTCAGTCAGATTCTATGGTATCTGTAAGAATAAATCTCCAAGTCCTTTCACAGATTCCCAATTTGATTTATGTCTTTGACTTTAACTTAGCCATTCTGCTTGATTATTGTGCTTTTTTATAAAGCATTGTATTGTGGCTCTGACTGTTTGTTTAGGACCGTCGTCCAGCTGAAAATTGAACCTCTGCCCAGTCTCAAGTGTTTTGCAGCCAAGCTTTCAGCATCCGTAAAGCATGATAATGCCACCACTATTTTTCATTATGGGATTTATTACGTTGAGGGTAATATGCAGCATCAGTTTTTGTCCACACATAGCAATTTTCCTGTTTCACAAAGACAATACTATACACAAAATACACAATTATGCACTACTTGCTGCTGCTTTATGCCAAATCGCAATAAAATACCCCAAATTTGTGTATGTAATGTGACACAGTGTGGAAAAGAAAATTGTTTGTTGCAAATGTGCTGCTGACAATGCGTTCTTTACAAATCTGGTTGCGTTTTTTTCCCATTTTAACTCCTCTACACTTTAACTTTAGCTATTATAACATATATATATATATATACTCCTATTCCAGATGTTTACTATGCAGCTTTTCAGGTGGCTGGACTTCACTGAATTCTTTAATTTCATATAGATGTCACTGACTTGGAGTTTGAAGGCCTTTAGCCTGGGGGTAGTGGCCTTTTCCCTCAGTCTGGAGCTGCTTTGTTGGCTCTTTGGTCGCCTCAAACACAGAGGAACCCTTAACAAGGTCCTCATCTTCCCCTCAGAGGTGGCCTGCGTGGAGTACTTGTTCAGACCAAATTCAGTGGGGTAAGTCCAAGTAGTTGAAATTGTTTTTTCTCAAAGTTCCTATAGGCTTGTGCTGTTTTATTAGTGTATTTGCACACTGTTAAACCAAAAAAAGAGAAATCATTCGGATATGTAGCTCATATATGAGGTGTATGGTTTAGCAGAGGATGTGAACTTCTCTCTTTTTGTCTCTTCCTGCAGCTTGTGTTTCTGTGGGCTGCCACATGGTGTAGAGACATCTTTTTCTCATCTCCTCCGCTACATCCTCTCTGCCTCTTCCTCGCTGGACTTGTGTCTTTTTTCTTTTTCCAACATCGACTTGAAGAGAGCTGTAATACTACTCCATGAAAAGGGTGTGACTATCCGGGTTGTTGTTGACAAGGACTATTCTGCCATCACTGGTTCACAAATAGGGTGTCTACGCAAAGCTGGTAAGAGAAGCACATCTTCTGATTCTAGTACTATGATAAAATAAATTTTCCATTGAATAACTTATCGCTTGGAATGATAGAATAATACATGTTTGCTTATAATTTATTTCTGTTGAAAATGTTTTAAAAGCATCTAATAAAAAGCACCTTCACAGTTTGAAAAGTTCAGGGAAAATGCAGCCATCAATTTATTTGTGCCAGGGCTGTAACAAACAATTATTTTACTAACTGATTAATCCATCAATTTAATCAGATAAAAAAAACATCTAATTCTGCAGATTTTTCACCTAATTACCTAAAGTTGTTTTATGACTAATAATTTGAATAAGAAAATAAAGAGCATGCATCTGCAGCTGAAAAAAATCCCCACATCAGTATAATAAAAGCTTGTCCTTCTCTGATTAACCTAACTTTAAAACAATGCAAGCTACTTTTGTGGTGAAAGTGGTCATAAAGACAAAAAGTGCATAGA